TGTTTAACAAACTCTTCTGAGTGCCTTACCAAGTGATTTTCATTTCTATCTCATGAACCAGAAATGTGTCACAGATTAAGAGTTGACAAAAAAATGTAGTCCTTTTACCTGGGAGTATTACAGTCACAAACAAAATTGGAAGGTTTTGTTAGGAAGAAAGAAAGGCAGGATGGATGTTGGGTGGACGATAAACCATCTCTAACACAGAGAACAATTTCTCAATGTGTTTAAGAAATTTCCCAATGTTATGTTTTAATCTGTCCATTATTTTCCTCATCTCTGCCTTCAAATTGATTTTCAAAGGTGAACATGAATAGGTGACTATGCTGATACTCAAAGCAGAAAATTAGGAGGGTAGAAGGGTGAGGAAATTTTTTTAAAATCCAAACAAAACAGAACCTTCTCTAATTCTTGTTCTAGTCCATCAGACCTCCACATGACAGAGCACCTCACAGTCACATCACAGTCGCAGCGGGCTCAGTCAAGGCCCTAATTATTCCCCTTGAACTATATCATGGCAGAGTGCTCTGGACTGGGTCTAAGTCCCACCCTCATCAGGAGCATTCTTCCAAACAGTAAGAGTCTGCTTTCCCTGCACACGCAGCTGGCTGGACATGCCAGGTAGTGGTCTACCCCAGAGCGGCTCTCAGGAGTTAGTGTATAAATACCCCCACTCCCTCACCCTCAATGGAATTGTTTTTAGGTGCATATTTCATAAAGTTTCCCTGCAGGGATATATGTATTTCATACTAGAGTTCAATATATTGAAACAGACAAACATTTACATACTGCTATCATTGGGATATTTGTTGCTCTCAAGCCTCTTGTTGAAATTTGGAATTGGAGCTGGAGCCTACTGGGAGGTGTTTGGGACTTTGGGATGGACCCTGCTTGAGTGGATTAATGCCCTCTCTGGCTGGGGAATAAGTGAGTTCTCACACTTATTAGTTGTTAAAAAGAGCCTGGCACCTACCTGCTTCTTCCTGTGTCCTCTCTCACCATGTGATCTCTGCACACGCCAGCTTTGTTCACCTTCCACCGTCAATGGAAGCAGCCTGAGACTCTCACCAGGTGCATTTACCGGTACTATGCTTCTTGTACAGCCTGCAGAACCATGAACCAAATAAATCTTTTTTCTTTTAAAATTACCCGGTCTCAGGTATTTCTTTATAGCCACATATCATGGACTAAGAGACAGAGAATATACGCTATCTTTCATAATGTGCATCGATCCCTGCAGGGGCAAGTCCTAGATGCCCACTGTGATGTCTGGCTTAAACTACATGCCTTGTTGACTGCCTCCTCTTCCCTGCATCCCTGCCACACTCCCCTACTGAAGTGTCCTGGACCTCCCACATACACTGCTCTTGAATCTTTGTTTCAGGATCTATTTCCAGGGTGACCCAAACTAAGGCATGGGTCATTTCTCCAGAAATATGGATACAGTTACGATTTCCCTATAGTAGATAAAAAATGAGTCAGATCCCAGGAAAGTGTCTATGGCCTCACTTTGGTGTTGGTACCTTTTCTCAGTGCCACTTCCAGCCTATATTCTCTGTTCTTCTACCTCCTCCTACTTCTGGAAAGCTTGACATTCTGCTGTGCTTTGTCAGAGACCCCAACCAGGGCACACATGACGCCCAAGTAGCAGGAAGGATGTATGGAGTGACCAGTATGGATTATAATTACCTGGTGACATGGAGATATGTTGTCTAAAGAGGTTCTCCACCTTTATTTCCTGGGCTCTGAGAGGCTGTCATAAGGTGAACCGATGGCTAGAAGGCAGCTGAGCTTTCAAGGGTTTTCTGGGGACCAATCATCAGCGCGGCTATCAATCACGTCTCAGACAAAGCTAAGGCTGTGCAAGTACTTCTGCCACTGAATGAGCATCTCCTTTGCCCTCTTCATGTCTGGAGACTTTCTGAGTTGCCCTCATCCCATTCACCTCCTGGAAAAAGCAAAGCTGTGCAAGAGGGAACATTCTTGACGTCATGGAATTGGAAATACACAGAGGAGGCAGGGAAATACCAAGGCTGAAGGCTCAGTCGCTAAGCCCCACTGAGATCTTGGGAGGCAGAGTGATGCGTGCTATTCAGAGGCAAAAACGACACCCGGACATACGGGTTTGCAGCTGTGCATCAGTCATTCCAGCCTCACTTCTCACCATGCCAACCTGAATGTGCAAACACAGTCAGGGCCTTTTGATGTGTATTGTTGGCACAGACATGCTCTTTACTTTTTACCAGGGAAGCACAAAATTGTTTTTCTTGCCACTGGTGTCCACAGCAACAACACTTCTCCCAGTCTGTGTTCTCTTTGTGATAAACCAGTTTGACCCACGAGTTCAAGAGTATGTCCTGCTCCCTTCCAAAGTGTGGCTTGTTCGTTTTCTGATCCTCACTCTCTGGACTAGAAAAATACACGTGGCCTTTTTTCTGCCCAGAGGCAGCAGGAAGGAGTGTCATATGCTGATTTTGCCCCTTCATGGTTTTGCTCTGTTTTCACCAAAAAATCAAATCAAATCAAGCTGGGAACTCACAGAGGATAAAAAGCAAAAATTGAATAGACATTAGGGCCTCTGAAGGATAATACATCTGCAAGCAGTTTAAGCCATGGTCTTTAAAATGGGAGCCTTCAAAACTGGAGTCTTGTCTTTTAAAATTAAATATATATATTTAATTAATTACCAGGATGCTGTGAGGAGATATCTATATCTATAGATAGCCAAAAAAGTATACACATTTTAAGAAAAGAAAAAGCTGTATTAAAATTGTAATACTCAATATATACCAATTTTAAAAAAGAGGTATATGAGTCATCTTTTGATTTCTGCAATTACAAGAGTGGTTCCCATCAGCATCCAGATACTTCTCCACTTCTCATGGTGAACTAAAAGTAATCCATTGATAACATCATTTAAAATGTATATGCATTTTTTGGCACCTGTGGTGTGTGTGTATCTCTCTCTCTCTCTCTCTCTCTCTATATATATATATATATATACACATATATATATATATATAAAACATATACATATATATAACATATACATATATAATATATATTATATATTACTGTCTCCAAAAATACATAATATATAATATATTACTATCTGCAAAAAAATGAGCTGATTATAGATGAACCTCATCCTATAAGGGAAAAATAAGATCTTATATAAGAAATAGAAAGTTAACATAAGGAAAATGGTTATGTAATTTTAGGATGCTAAACTTCTATTCCTTCTGCTGGCATGCTACTCACAGGCTCTTAAGATCTCACATGAAAATCAAAGTAACAAGAGTCTCTGCAAGCTTATTTCTCAAAGTGACGCCAATACAACTACTGAGCTTGCCATCTAGAAGGAAGATAAAGTGATCAAATGACTGTGAGTGAATGTACAATGACGCATCTTCACCGGCCCCCAGCACCCACGCAGACATTTTGTAATTATTTTATCAAGGATAGGACAGACAAGTTCAGATTCACAGAAGACGCACAGAGTAGCATGTTGATAAAAACACCTCTGAAGGACACCATCAGCATGTGGTGAACTGGAATTGAGCAAAGGCTGTTGTGAGCTGGGACTCGGAGATTGCACTTTACAGAGATGTGGGCTTATGGTAGGACTTCCATCTTCATGGGACAGAAAAGAGGATCTCTGCAGGGAAGAGTGAGGTGTGCTTGCTGGTCCTGGGGCTCTATTTTCTCTATCTGAGAAATGGGCTCTTAGGATCACCAGGGCCCCAATCAGTTCAAAATCACAAGAATCCTCCAAGAGGAGCTGAGGACGGGCACGGGTGCAATGGAGAGAGAGAGGGAGATGCAGAGCTCAATGTTGGGAAGCTCTACCTGAGAACTGAGCATGCACGAGGAAGGAATGGTGCCAGGTCTGAGGAGCTGGACAGCAAGGAGGTAGGGGCGTGTATCCCAGCCCCTCCCCAGCTGCACACTCAGTAGATACTTATTATGTGTTGGAGCTAGGTGCTGTTCCGGGAGCCGGGCAGCAGAAACAGAAGCAGCTCCATGAATCTGGGTGCAATGAAAGCAGGATTTGAATCTGGGCAGTCCATGCAGTAGCTACTCAAATAAGTTTAGACCTGGACATAACAATGAGAGAGAGATCATTGATTGAATAACTATACGTAAAAGCAAAATGACACCTGTGTCGGGCTACCACGGAAAGAGGTCCAGGATACTCTGAGCTCTGATAACAAAGACCTGGCCTGCTGGGCATCTCCAAGGACACATCTCTGGGCTGATCTAGGATGGAAGAGTTTGATGGCAAGGTGGGAATGTGCATGTGTGTCCTGTGTGCATGTGCCATGTGAGTCAGGGCATGGGGGTGTCATTGGAACCATGTAGCAGACATGTCTGGAAGCCAGGACCCAATAAGAGCCTGGAAAACCAGAAGGAATGGAAGACCAGGGTGACAGAGCATGAGGGTTCTCGCATAGCCCCTGCATGCCCTGCAGGGTGGCGCTGCTAATTCAGGCCCCTTTCCCAGCATCTCGCCCCTCCGGCTAGCAGCTGGCTGCTTGCATTGAAACCATTATGTATGTTTAGACCTGTTTGAACTCTGCAGGGCTTGGGAGCCAGACTTCCAGAGTTCAAATCCCGTCCTCGCTGTGTAAGTGACAGACCTCTCTGTGCCGTCTGTAAAATGAGAAGAATAATACTGCTTATCTTGTCAGGATGCTGTGAAGATCCATGAGTCAATCCTTGTGAAGCATACTCAGTCTGCCCTGCCACCTCCTCACTCTGTGTCCTTCCCTATCACAGTTCCCCTGCAGAAATCCGGGTAAGGACAGAATGTTCTCTCTTGGCCACCAGGGTTGCCTCCTAAGCCCCATTCTGGTCATCCTGCTGTGTAAGCCAGGCTACCGGAGCCTGAATAAAAAGACTGGCGCCATGTGTAGGGAAACTGAGGGAGAGCAGGTTGTATGTTCTCGGGTCAGGTGTTTCAGGAGGGACGTAACAGGAGGGTGTGCTTGCTCTTGCAGGAGGCAGAGATCCTGAACACCGCCATCCTCACGGGCAAGACGGTGGCCGTTCCAGTGAAGGTGGTCTCAGTGGAGGAGGATGGCACTGTGACGGATCTACTGGATTCTGTGGAATGTAGATCATCTGATGAAGATGTGATTAAGGCAAGTTGGCACCTCCCTGCTCTGCGGACACCCGCTGTGTGTCAGTGTCAGTGTCCCCTCTGGGTCCCATGGGGTCTCTCCCACCCCGCTCTGGTGATCCTGCCTCTTAAATCAGGAGACGCTCCCGGGCACAAAAAAATGGGACAGAATTAGAAACGGCTCTGGCCAGTGACTCGGGGTCCGTGAAGCATTCCCTGGACTCTTTGGGCCTGCTGACCCCCTTGGCCTCTGCCCATGGTAGGAGGCAGGGACCACCACCCAGGTAGAGGTTACTGTCCACCGGCCCCCAGGCTGGTAAGGGGGGAAGGGTGAACAGAGCCTAGATGGATACGTTCGTGACCACACCTGGAGAGGATTTTATGGAGCAAAGTGTTCGTGTAAAGTCAGTGGTGGCATGAACTATGCGGGCACTCCCAGCTCTGATTTATACTGGCCCAAGAGTATGCAGAAGGCATCACGCTAACCTCCCATGCCCGGCCAGCAGAAGGTAGTGAGCTGGGGACATGGGTGAGCTGCTCTCGCCCCTCCTTCCTTTCTTCCCTCCGGCCTCTCCTTTCTCTTCTTAAATGCAAAAATAGTTCCATACACGGGCACACAGGGAGGATGGGCTTGTCACGCTGTTACCACCCACTCCAGAGCAAGCTGCAGTGACAAGTACCCCCAGAGGTGCCTTCCTGCACATGCCTGGAACCACGAGGAAGGCCACAAAGTCTCAAGAGAACCCTATCTCCTGGGCCCCGGCAGGGCCAGGGCCCAGAGTCCTCTCAGCCAGGACAGGAGAGTGGACTGCCAGGGAGGGTTGCTGCCCTCTTGGAAAGCAGTCGACAAATGCATACTAAGTCTCTGAGGAGGATGAGATCCTGTTCAAGGGGTCAGGGCCACACAATGAGTGTCAGCATCCCTGTCCTTGAGCTCAGAGAGAAGACAGGGGTGTGAGAAAACATCGAGGTGGCGGGAGGTGTGACGTCACACACCACTCCCATCCGTTCACACAGAATCTGCTTCACACCAGCTCATGCCAGCGCCTCCCTGGTGCTCAAGCCGGTCTCTGGCTCTTGCTTGGTTTCTCTCCTCTCTCTCCTCACATCCAGTCCTTCAGCAAATCCTGTTGGCTGTGCCTTTGTGGTGGTTTCCAGATCCTTCCTCCCTCCACGGCTCCTGCCACCACCCCCATCCAGGTTGCAAAGTAATCACCTCCATCAAAGGGCTAACTCCCTCCTCACTGTTTTCCTTGTGCACACCCCCTCCTCTCTCGTGATCCCCTTTCAGTGACAGCCAGGGTGGTCAAAGGAGATCTGATTATGAGAGCCCTCAGCTCAGCTCCACTCGCTGTCCTCACCCTGGTAACCTCCATACCGATCACGGGGCCCACAGAGAGAGAGTTTGACGGAAGAAATATGACATAGAAATGGGTAGATCAGTTGGGTGACTATGGTTTATGATAATCTATCGTGCATTTCAAAACAGCTAGAATTCCAACATTCTCAGCATAAAGAAAAACTAAGTATTGAAGGTGGTGGATATCCCAGTGACACTGACTTCATCTTTGCAAGTTATAGGAATGTATTCAATTATTACATGGACTCCGAAAATAAGTACCTCTATTATGTATCAATTTTTTAAAAAATGTTTTAAGAACACATTCACCGGCTTCCCATCCTCAAAAAAAAAAAAAGCCAAAATGTTCACAGAGACAGGGAGAGTCTCACCCAGGCAGCCACACCTGCCTGAAGCTGACCTCACTCTTGGCGTGGGCCCTCTGGCTCTCTCCATTCCAGACACACTGGGTCTTGCCCCTGTCCCCGGCTCCTAGTTTCCTCCCTAGATCTTCTCCTCTTGAGGACTTTCCTGGGCAGCAGTGGTGACATCTTCACAGCACGGCCTCTCCCCTCCCTGCTCAATTGTATTCTTTTGTATCTCACACGTATCCCACATGTTTATTTATTCACATGTAGTTCTCTCTATTTTTTTATTTATTGTATTATTCATGTCTGTCTGTCCTCCCTGGGAGCTAAGCTCCCTGAGAACTATCTGTCCACTCTGTTCACTGCTGTGTCCCCACCACTTAACAACTGTCATGTGAAAAGAAAAACTTCAGACAAATTACATTTAACAGAGTTTTTATTATTATTATTATTATTATTATTATTATTGAGTCAGCGTCTTACTCTGTCACCCAGGCAAGGGTGAGGACAGAAAATTCTCTCTCAGCCACCAAGGTCACTGGGATGGTGCATGATCATGGCTCACTGTAGCCTCGCCCTCCTTCTGCCTAGCCGCCCGAGTAGTTGGGTCTGCAGGTGTGCACCACCACGCATGACTAACTTTTAAATTTTTGGTAGAGATGAGGTCTTGCTATGCTGCCTGGGTTGGTCTCCACCTTTTGGGCTCAAGCAATCCTCCCGCCTCGGCCTCCCCGAGTGCTGGGATCACAGGCGTGAGCCACCACACCTGGCCACATTTAACAGAGTTTAGTTGAACAAAGGATGATTCTGGAATCTGCAGCTTCCAGACCAAAACAGGTTCAGAGCGACTTGAGGTGCCACCCAGCTGGCATGACATTGATGAACAGGAACAAGAGCCAGGCACAGAAGCAGCGGGTTTGGCTACAGCCCCTGCCTCCCCCGGTTTGAATAACTGATCACCTAAGATTGGCTGAAACTCAGTGATTGGTATAACAGCAGGTGACAGCCTGTTTACACATCTAGTTGGGGTACGGTCACTTTGCATGGAAGACCCCTAGGCCCGACTCAAGCTATGTGAGGGACAGCTTTAGGCTAAACTTAATTGAACTCTTGGCACCTAGCAGGTGCTCAGCAAACGTTTGTTGAATGGATGAGCCATATGGTGGCACACAGGAGACACGAGAGAGAAGAGACATCACCGAATCACTCCAGGATTGTCAGGGCAGGTAAGCCCTGCAGGATGAATAGGTGTCATTCTGCTGGATGCTCAAGATGGGAAAGTACATTGCCGGCGGAGAGAATGGCATCAATGAAGGTAATAGGAAATGTACTTCATGGGTGTGGCCACACTTCTGGCTTCCAGGGGCGGCCATGTGACTCGAGCGGCCAATCAGAGCGCCGTGTCCTTCTGGACATGCCATTGGCCCAGCAGGGAGTCACCCAGTGTCCAGTCACAGCCAAGGAGGTGCAGTCTGGAGACCTTGGCGGGATGTCTCGGAAATGAAGTGCTTCCTCCCCCTTTGCTCTTGAGGGTGACTTAGAAGCCAGTCTTGGAAATACAGGAGATGCGAAGAAAAGTGGAAAGCCATGAGTGTCCTGTTTCACATCTCTCAACAGGCCTCGCTGCTCAGGAACCAAAACCCACTGCCCACACAGCCGTTACCACGCTGCTGTGTGGACCACAAGGGTTGGCAGAGCCCCTCGCTCCGTAGGATGCCGTGGTGTCATCTGGAGGCCCTTGAGAAGGAAGCCAGTGGCTCTCAAGGAGGCGTTGCAACCCCCATGCAGGCCTGGGCCTGAGAAGGACTTCCCCTAAAGCCCTCAGGCTTTACACCTTTTCTGCTGTCTCTTCTCTCCCAGACAGAGGCCCCACAAGCTCTTGTGGCCTTCCATCTCCACGGAAAGCTGCCTCAGGAAATCCCCTGGAAAATTCATTCTCACCGAACTGTAGATTGCAGAGCCGGGTGGTCTTGTGCCTCCCAAAGAGGACTGCTTCTTCCAGAAGGCAACAGACCCCTAGTGGAAGCATTTCAGGTGTCAGCGATAATGTTCGTTGTGATTCTTGTGAGTTAGGAATAATGGAAAACCCCACCCACGACAGCATAAGGTTAAAAAAAAAGGGTCGCATCATTAAAAAGGGCACAGAGCTGGGACTAGTTTAAACGTGCTTTGTTTAGAGCCTCCAACTATATCCCCTGGACATTCCCACCCTCCCTTTTTCTCCCCTCTGCCTTCTCTCCCCACTTCCCTCTCTCTCTTTCCTCTCCTCTCTCCCCTTTCCCGCTCTCTTCTCCCCACTTCCTTCCTTCCTATCAGCACAACAGCACTCTTTCTTCTGGGTGAGTTTCATTCTCACAGAGTCTGCCCTTATGGGAGCAAGATAGACACCCTGCAACAGGTTCAAGTCCAACAGGAAAGAAGACGTGCCTTCTACGACCTTTCCATATAGATCCAGGATATGTGCTTATGGGACCTCTTTAGGTCACCCTCTATCCTTGAGCCCAGCATGACACCTCAGGGACTGAAACATGCTGGGTGTCCAAATCCTGAATCATCTCACCTGCATGTGGGCTCAGTAAGGAGTCTGGGGAGGGAGTGTCCCCAGGGCTGATCTGTGAGCTGTCGTAGGGTGCATGCAACAAAAGCAGCACATGGTTCCTGCAGCCACTTAAGAGTGGGACAGCCTCAGGGTTTTAAGAACCCACAACACAGAGTGGCAGGATGGCTGGCTGCTCTCATCGAAAGTCAGCCACTCGTCACACACTGGGAAGATGGCGAATTTGGCTCAAGAGCTACTCCTGAAAAGTTTGCCAAGATTTGTGTTGTTGTAGTTGCCTCCATGCACGGGCTCAGGTGTTCATTAACAGGTCCTAAATAAACCCGTCTTTTTATCTGCCTGATGTCTCAGAAATGTCCACTGACAACAATCACAGGTGGCTCCAGCCCTAGGAGATCAGGCTGAACCCAGCGAGCCTGCTGTATCTGAGGACATCTGCACAGCACCAGGGCCACCTCTGCCTGGAAGCCAGGTGTCACAAAGCTTGACTGATTCCCCAAGGCCGATCAAAGCCGACATTATTTTCTGTGAGAGCAGCAAACTGCTGTGAAGGGAGGAAGTGTAATTTCGGGACGGGAGTAGACACGTCACAAGCCGAGTAAACAACTGGGCAGATGAGAGCGCAGGAAAGGCAAATGTCTTGGAAGCCATTTCAGCATCCCTGGCGGGGTACTTGGCATCCACCCACATGGCCTGGCTGTCTGCATGGTCGCCTGTTCCTGAGGAGAGGACCTGGGACAGGCTCACTTTGGGACTGG